AACGTCTGAGAGTGGGGAAAGAATGGAGAGATAATTGCTAGAGAAGGCAGCAGGAGACAGGGAGGAGGACATCTTCCTCTTTTATTTCAAAGTAAAATGAGTATTTCAAATATAGTTTATATTCATTATTGGCAACTGTTGTTCAATATTTTTTCCCTTGTGCCATAGCCTCCAAGCTATAACTGCAGTGGCTGTGTAGTGCCCCCAGCTGGTCAGATGGGATTACTACACACTATTTAAATCATTTAAATCATGCATACAGCATTTGTAAAAAAAAAAAAAACAAACAACCAAACAATTACTAAACCCAATAATACAAACAGTATCAAAACCATTATAGATAGATACTTTATTTATCCCTACTGGCTCCATTTTACTTCAATTAAACCCTACTGCATGGTCTCCATGGCAACACAAGTCATTCAGAGTCAATCACATATACCTTTTAAATGTTAAAGAATTAAGAAAAAGATTATGCAACTCCCTGTAAAATACAAGTAATTAGTAAGTCGTTACAGCAAATTTTTCTCCACTGAGAGTCTATTGCATGTTTTTCCCTCAAATATTATCTAGTTTGAATATGTTATTAAGAAAATAAACCAAAGTTATATGACACATTGAACACATGCCTCTGTGTGTGTTTTAGACTGGAACACAGAACTCTTTGACTGAGATTATATGACTCAGATTTTATTTCACTGTGTTCTATCAGTAGGAAGTGATTGCACGTCTTTATGTGAAGCCATCTCTTAGACATATAATGCAACCAAGTTAAACTCTTTTATATGCTGGTGCTAAATATTGATCGGGCCTTCTTGCCTCAGCAGATTTTTCACGTCTTTGCTGGTCAGATCAGATACAGGAGCAGCTCTTATCGGTGTACAAGTTATGTAGCAGATCCTGGATCAGTGTGAGAGGTTATCTAACAATCAAGAGCGGTGGCTCAGCAAATAAAAACAAAAGGAGTTAGGACACACACTGTCCCCTGCAGTGAAGGACAAAACTCTGAACAAACAAACAAAATATGTAGTAATGTAGTCACATATTATCTCTTTACTACACATTTCTACTGGATCTCTGCTCTGATTGGCTGGTCACTGCCTGGGCTCTGGCTTGGGATTTAAATTAAGCTTGAACCGTACTACCAGCCAAAGTTTAGGAAGGCAAGTCAAGGATACAAGATTTGGGTGGATCTTGAATTTTCCTAATTCAGGGGCCACAAACGGGCCAAGCTTTACACAGTGGGACCCGGTATTATGTGGAGGGTGCCTGATTCCACAACACCTTTTCTAGTTGCTTTTTTTGTTTTGTTTGTATAAAACAAAAATTTGTTTGTTTGAAAAATCAAAGGCAACACATGTAACCATGGTAACTGTACACAACAAAGATGATAATAGCTTAAAAATGCTTAGAAGACATAAAAATTGAAACTGCATTACAAAACTAGTTCAAGGTGGCAAAATTAACACTGAACATAGTGGCAAAAATAAGGTTTCCAGGTAGGGAGAGACTATGGGTGGGACTATGGGTGGGACTATGGGTGGGACTATGGGTGGTGGGTGGGACTATGGGTGGTGGGTGGGCTACAGATACAAATCTTTCATTTATTGTGTAGAAATATTGACACGTACACACAACATGATATAATGTAAGAAATAACCGCCTTGAAGCTTTGGAATGATACATGACTCTTTAATTTCTTTGCAAAAGTTGCACAAGGCAGATAGTTTTTCATTTTGGTAATAATACATTTGGGTTAAATTTGTACTTGACTGAAATATTCCATTACTCTGTCTGTCCTGTGTGGGTTGCAGATTTAAAGTGCATCCTTCATACAACTGCATTCTTTACACAGAACGAAGGGAAGCTTTCATCGCAGGCATAATTGCTCCAACCATCTGTAAGGACAGAAAAAGAGAGAGAGTATAAACTGAACACCATTTAAATAGAAGGAGTTTTGAAAAGGTTATTCTAGGTAAGTCATAGATATACTTCATACAGGCTGGTGGTCAATTGTAAAAAAAAAAGTCTATATTTTTTTTGTGATTATCACAAACTAACCACAATTTAAATGACCAGGAGCGTATATTTTGTTTGGATGAAACTGAAGCTGTTTTAGGAAACCACCAACTGTGTGAGTGTGTTTTCTTACCGGTGGTGTATGTTGAAAGGCATGGGTAGATGCTGTCTGGAGACATTGCAGTAAAAAATCCCTGATAAAACCAGGAACCATCGAGCCACATCCACTGGTCCTGGAGTCAGACAGAGAAACATTATCTTTTAATGATTTAATGATTTCTTCATACTACAAGGGGATTATTTATTAATAAGTGACATTTATGGGTTCTAGAAGGCATAACTTTGGCGAGAGCAAGGCAAGCTCAACAATCAACAATACAACACGTGTTGTTTTAGTCATCTCACCTCAAGGTAGAATCCACCGAGCCAGGCTTCTCCGTTAGCTTGCTGATAGAGGAAGGAATACTCCTCGGGGCTGTGGACGGAGACCAGGCTGGCCTCGAAACCAGCACAGGTAGCCTGATAGGAGAGAACGGTGACGGAGGAGGATGCCGCGTGGAATAGAGTAGGAGATGGAGACAGAGGTTGTGCTCATTAAAAATCTGATTTTAAGGGACGATCGCAAATAGTTAGGAAGTCAGTCCTGGTCCAGTATGCAACTTATACAGTGTGATCCACCAGTGCACA